TTATTATTATTATTATTATTATTATTATTATTATTATTATTATTATTATTATAGAAGGAAGAACTCTTTTTTTAAAAAAGCGCTCTTGTGGGAAATGGCGGAATCTGGAATATAAAGGGGTCTGTGTGATAAAGAGAGGAACATGAGAGTGAAATAGGAAGGTGTAGGTAAGAAAAGGAGCATAAACTAATCACACGGGGGAATCTGAGCAGTTCATTTCTGACCAGTGGACCTGTCTAGGTCCCCACCCATTCATTTACCTTTCATTACACTTGTGTAAAGCTTTGGAGAAGGCAAACGTGTTCCCCACTTCTCCTCTCTGTCCTCATGACAATTATGCGAGGTCAAATGTTAGCCGCCTTACGCCTTCTGGGCATCATGGACTAAAGCTCCCCTCAGCTCCTGCCTGTGAGGCTAAAGGGCAGGAATGATGGGTCTGGTAGTCCGAAGTTCTGGGGCCCCTCCATTGCCTCCCCCTGGAGATAGTGCGGAAAGGAGCAACTATAACCCCATCTGCTTGGTTTCATGACCGAAAGAGGGTTTAGGGCTAGGCCTCTGCAGTCTGGCTGGGATTACATGCTGGAGTAACGGGATTTGTGTGTGTTTGCTTAGCGTGATTATGGCTTAGCGTGATGGGTGAACCATGACCTAGTAACTTGTAAAGGCCTGGTACAGCGTGTGATGCCAAAGCCTAGCCCCTGATTTTGAAACGATGCGGGTCCACCTGTATAATTGAACTGCAGGCAGGTGTTTCAAGGAGCCTAGGGTCCCAAATTAAATAAATAATCTGAGCTATCCAGGAAACACACACACACACACACACACACACAGAACCAACTTGTGCCAAGGCATTGGTGGGAAGGCTCTTATTGCAGATCAGAAGGTGTCGTAATCCTTATTTGAGCTTCTTAACCAGAGGGAGGGACGACCAAAGGCATCTCTGTTGATAAGTGGAGCAAAGTGATTCGTGCCCCAGATTAAACCATGCTTATCTAAGATCTTTGAATCTTTTTCAGGTGTGGTCCCACTGCCTGATACCGCCCTTGATTTCTCTGATCTGAGGAGCAGCGGCAGCAGCAATGCCGCACATCAGAACAGCCGCGTGAGTTGTGAGATTTTTAGGTTGCTGTAGCCAGAAGAGACCAAAGAACTCTACTGTGGGCCCTATTGCTAGCCATGGACCTACAACACATGGGGAGAGAAACCGTTATTACTTCCTGTATTGATACGATGGCACCTCAGGCCGGAAGCAGGGTGTTCCTTCTGTAAATGAAGTGTTCCAGCATGTCAGTAAAAATTCCCTGCTCAAAATTAGCTAGTTGACTGGGGAGAGGGGATGCTCTTTTTCTGACACCCTAGTTGTGTCCTGGCACGATGAAAGTTGGGAGTTGGAAGAACCCAAGGAGCCATAGCTGGCATTAGTCCCTGAGTTTCTCAGTCAGCTGCTGGCTTCGCATTCTGCCCATATCTCCCTTGCCTCCCCGTTTTTAATTTGAAACCTAGTGTCCATCTGAATTTCCCACCATGCCCCAGCATAGTATTGCAGGACCTTTTGAATGCTAGATTATCAGGAGGAAAGCAGAGGTGTCCTACCATAGAGTTCTTGGCCCAGAGCCCTCAGAAACCTGGAGGTGTCTCCAGGAGGACTCTATGGTAACTAAGCCTCACCCTGCAGCAGTCAAGTCCTGGCTGAAGTTCACTGTCCTGATGCCTCAATGGGGAAATATTCCATATGCAGGATTCCCTTTGCTCTGTCCAGCATTCCTTTTTTCTTTTTAATTTAGAATAATGAGGACTGGACTGTGTGCAACCGGTGTGAAACCTATCGGCCACCACGGGCCCATCACTGCCGGATTTGCCACCGTTGTGTGCGCCGGATGGATCATCACTGCCCTTGGTGAGGTTCAGGCTATTCTGGCTTGGGCAGACAGGCAACAATTGCTTAGCATAATGGGGGTCTGCTGCACTGCTTTGGTTTCTGGGAGGGGCCCTGGCTTTCCCACTCATTTTGTAAATGACGGACTCAGCAATGACAGAGGTGACTTTCTCTTTCTACCTTATTTGGCATTCTCAGGGGCTTCTTTTATAAAAATACCCCCTCTCTCGACAGGATCAACAACTGCGTTGGGGAACTCAACCAGAAATACTTCATCCAGTTCCTCTTCTACACAGGTACATTGGAGAAGTTGTGCAGCTGGGGTCCAGCGGCTGGGATCCTAGGAGGGACCTTGCAGGGGTGGGATCAGAGCACCATGGCAGGATTCTCAGTTGGCCTCCGACAACCGAGCCCCAGATCTCTGTGGGTCTGGGCCTTGCCATGAAGGAAAAGCGAAAACCCAGAAGCTTGTAGGGTGAGCTGAGCCAACCCTCTCTTTGTGGAAGAATGTTGTGGATCTTGGAAGACCTCACCATTCTACCTTGATCTGATTCAGCCTCCCTGACATAGTTCTGCTTTCTGAAAGCCGAATAGCAGTTGCTCTCTTCGTCCACTGGAGGCTGCTCCAGGCACACCCATTGTGTCTCCGTGTGCTTGTGTCAATGCAAAGCTTGGAATTGGTTTACACTTCATAGCACTGTCATCCCTGAGAGCCGTGGGTCCTAATTAGCAAGGGGACATGTCCCCTTCTTCTCCAGGATGTCCCTGAGGCATATGTGGGCTAGAATCACCCCAGCACAAGCCATTGCCCTCCCTGATTGCACTTTCAGCCTTTATGCCACACGTTTTCTACAT